TGGGCAGTTAAGAAACAAAAACAAACAAACAAACAAAAACCCACTGACTAGTAATATGGTAACAGCTTCAAAACTGATGCCTGGGGTTCCTGCTTCCTGCATTGAAATCCTGTTCAGACTATGGACAACCAGCTAAGCCAGGATTGTAATGAAAGTAATAGAAAATGGCCGCTGACAGAAGTCAAGGTCAACAGAGGGCCCAGGGCAGATCTGAGAAGGCACTCATAGGGCATTGCCCAGACTTAATCAAGACACTCTTCCCTGGGAACCTGCAGCCAGGTGGGGCTGGAGCCAATTCAATCATGTTTCATTCCAGCTTCTTTCAAAACACTGAACAATGATCCCTTTTTCCTTTGCAGTAGGTCCTTTGGGAGGGCCAGCTCTATTATCTATCTATTACTTTTTAAGAGTAAGAGAAATCCGGCTGGAGAGATGTCTCAGCCACCATAGGCTAAGGCTCACAACCAAATGTCAAGAGAGTAAGAGAAACAGAGAGTTGCCTAGGAAGCAACTCAGAGGGGATGTTTTCTACTTCTCTTCTTCACCCTTCTGAGGTTGTTTCCTCAGAAGCAGAAATGGGTCTCTTTCACTAGGACTTAGGCCATAATGGCCCTTGATAAATGTCATACATGCAGAAGAGATTGTCACACAGTGAAGACGAGGTGTTGACTTGTCTAGCTCAGAAGCTATGGGTAGCAAGCTGGTGTTCACTCATACTCACAATGACAGGAGATATGGAGGGGAGACTTTACACCCAGACCCATTGCAGTATCTCCATGACATCTGGCAGTATACTTTAGTTGGGAGGACCACCATCCAACTCAAGCAGCCTGGTCCCCCTGCTGGGAACTCTCTGAGCAGACACATGTGACATAAACTAAAGGCACAGAAGAGGGCCGAAGTCAACAGCACCAATCAGATTCCACACTGGGTCCCTGACTCCCAACACTCCCAGAGTGCTCTAATCTGCAGCAAGAGTCAGTGACGGGGCCACAGTTCATCTTCACGTTTCACCGAAGCTTCACCAGCTTAGGCTCTGAAGGTCACTGTGTGTACATGGCCAGAATCCCAGAGATCACAGAATCTGTTTACAGCTGTGATGCATCTGTTAAAGATGTGAAACTCAGTGAAACCAGAGGAAGAAGTCCACGAGCCCCCTCTCTGATGTTACCAGTTTACAACAGACTATGTATACCGTAGCTTTAAGAGTTTTCAGCACCAAACACTTGGTCTGAGTAATGCATTTTAAATGCCTTTATTAGTCCACTCCACAATACATCAATATTTAAGGCATGCTGTTGTACACTATAAATGTATTCTTGGTAGCCTTGAACTCCCTATACATAGTTAAAAATGACTTTGAAATCTTGATTCTCCTGCCTCTGCCACTCAGTTTCTGGGATAACAGGTGTGCGCCACTATACCTGGTTTATGTGATGTTGAGGATGAGACCCAAGGCTTTGTACATGGTATCATGCACTCTACCAACTGAATTACGTCCCCAGCTCAGTAATTTTTGTCAAGTTAAAAATTTGTTTATATACATACCTATCAAATTATTGCGTGGGAAATAAGATTCTGGGACACAATATAGGCTGATTGATGTTTATTCCTGGTTTCCACTCCAAGGATGCCCCTGGATGCTCTCTGTTTCTGACCAGCAAGAGAGCAAGCTGCAGTCCGGGACCTCGGATCTAGACTACCCACAGATCACATCTATACCTGTCCCCATGCCACAATGGGCATGGTCAAAGCAACAGGTGTGGGTGGGCGGATATCTACATGGAATAAAGTGACATTACAGAATGATCAAAATGCTAAATTGTATCCAGGCAGTGGTAATGCACACTTTTCATCCTAGCACTTGGGAGGGAGGCAGGCCGATCTCTGAGTTTGAGGCCAGCCTGGTCTAGAGAGTGAGTTCCAAAACAGCCAGGAGTATACAGAGAAAACCTATCTTGAAAAACAAAACAAAACAAACAAACAAACAAAAACTAAAAACAAAACTAAATTGTAGCATGCGGTGGTGTGTGTCTGTGGTCCCAACGATCAGGAGAGGAAGGCAGGAGGATCAAGAATTCAAAATCATCCTCAGCTGCATATAGAGGTTCAGGCTAATTTATTCCTCATGATACCTTATCCCCCCCCCTCAAAAAATGAGAACAAAAGAGCAACATGTCTTCCCAAAAGCTCTCCCCAGCACATCTACAGGACAATGATCCCAACCATCAGCCACAACCCTCGAGGTCTCATGCAAAGAGACACTTATCCTGGCCACCTGAGTCTTCCCAGTTCACCAGACACTTTAAGCAACAGCTATTGGGTCTTCTCTTACTGTCCCTTCTAGGGAGGAAAAGGTAGTCTACTGAAAAGGCAGGCCTATGAAGGATCAGAAGTCAAGTCCAGGGTTAACTCCAAATGCTTAGTCTTTGCCAACAAATGCTAGGGCTGGTAATGGAGGGCATCTGTGTATAAATTAAGCACTTGATGACTAATGTGTATTTTGGGAAATGCTGGTGTCAACCAACTTAGGCAGCAGTGTGTGGAGAAGAGGTGCAAGGGCAGGTGTTGAGGCCCATGCTTCCTTGAGGTGGGGGTTTCCTGCCCAGAGAGCCACAGCCTGAAGAGGTGACTGAACTTCTGTCAGTCTGGGGTTCCTCCCTCACAGCTCTTTCCCAAGTGCAAATCATTAGTAACTGTGTGATTGCCAACACTTTCCTCCAGCTTCCTTGAGACGTTCTGGTCACGGGGTATCGTGAGCTGGGGGGATGAATGAAAGTTCTGTTGGGGCAGCTAAGTATGGATTCTTTTCCCTGTAGCCAATCCCAGTGATGCTATCCCTCCATCACTGCTTGGCCATCCTCAGGGGGAAAAAACATCTAGAAGCTGGAAAGGCAAGCTGTGAGAGCCTCCCCTACAGCCCATAGGAATTCGGCACAGAAAGCCCATGATGTTGGTCGGGCAACACCCATACTGAATTTCTAACCCTCAAGAGAACTCTGAGATAATAACACATTTGAGTTGTGTGGAGTCAGAAAACTTGTGATCACGGTTATAGCATCAACAGGGAGCTAATGCATCCCAGATAGAAGGAACGATGGCAGTGTGGCAGGGATGGGACATTGGCACATGTGCAGAGGGATTTCCACCTGGACCCTTTCTTCTTAGGTTTCCTATATTCCCTACCCAGAGTGTCCCCTGGTCTTTGACCTTGGGTTTACTTTCCCTCTCCACAATGCCTCTGACACCTGGCCAAAATTACTGGCAAAGGACACCATCAGGCTCCCTCCCACCATCTCCTTTGGCCATACCTTCCTTTGGAAAACTATGGAGGTGGGCCTCCATGTCTGAAATCAGCATTTACTGAAAAGTCACCTTAGAAACATCTGGCTGGGCATCTCAGATCCACTGGCATAACCAGCATGGTAAATGTGTGCTAAGTATGTAAGGGCTCAGGACCTTGTATGATTAAAAAAAAAAAAAAACCTTTCATGTTAGAGAATCTACTTAAGTCCCACAAGACAAAGCTGCAGATTCATGATCTAAGGTATGTGACCTTTAAAAAATTGCATGCATCTGCCTCTTGCCCTGGCTATGACAGGAACCAGGATAAATACAAGCTTGCAAATTTCCTTTTACAAAATAATTGTGGTATTATTGTTCACCCTTGGTTAAGCACCTTAAGTGTTCTGAGAAGAGTTCCTCATGGGGAACAAGCCCAGAGCCACCAGTGAGCCACCCATACAGGAATGTCCAGGCACACAACAGTGAAAAGGGACAAACTGAGAAGCAGGAGGGGGAGCAGGGGATACCAGTCACCAGCAGGGAGAAGCACCCCACATTTCTGCCAACATGGCATGTTCCTCGGCCAAAAGAGAAACAGAAGCAGCCACTCAGAGGATGGTCTGGCTTCTTTTATGTCAACTTGAAATGGCTACAGTCACCTGGGATGAGAGAAGCTCAATTGACAACACACTTCCATCAGATTGTCCATCAGAATACCAGTAAACAAGTCTGTGGAACATTTTCTTGATTAATGACTGATGCAGGAGGGCCCAGCAAACTGTGGGTGGTGTCACCTTGTTCCTGGATGCTATAAGAAAGAAAACTGAGCAAGCCAGGGAGAATGCCAGTAAACAGTGCTTCTCCATGGCCTCTGCTTCACTTCCTGCCTCAAATTCCTGCCCGGCCCCTTTAATGATGGACAGTGACTGGGACATGTAAGCCAAATAAACTGTTTTCTTCCCAAGTTGCTTTTGGTCGTGGTTTCTTATCACAGCAATAAAAAGAAAACCAGAATGAAGGGTGGTAGTTTTCTGAATTTCTCACTTAAGGATGTAGTTGATTTATTTGCAACAACTTGTCATTATAAAATCCAATACCATATATGATGAACATATGCCAATAAAAATTAAAAATAAGTAAGTGAACACATGTAGATCCTTTTAAAAAGAGAGATGACTTGCTTATAGGATTTATCTGGGCCCCCAGTTCAGAGGTTTCTGCCCATCCTGGTGAGGAGGGCAGCCAGAAAAAAAAGAGAGAGGAACAGGCACCTGGCATAACCTCAAAGGTATTCATTCCCTTAGTAAGCTATTTCTTCCAGCTAGGCCCTATCTTGTGAAGCTCCTGCCACGTCCCCAGATAGCACCATTTGGCCAAGAACCAAGCATTCGAAAATATGACCCAGTGGTGCTGATATTCAAACCCTAACATTTCCTGCAACCATTTTTCAAATGTAAACACTTAAGTGCATAGACACACAACACAATCCTACTTAGTGGTATTTGCTCACACTGGTTCACAGCCATAAACACCCAGACTGTGTCTTACTGAAACAGACACAAAGAGAAAGAATGGGTACCCTGTAGAGTGCCACCAGCAGTGCCAGGGCACTGAGTGCCAGGCCCTGGAGAGGTGACAGTGCCTCTGTGCCCTGCTTGGCATCTTACTAGCTGGCCCTGGGAGAAGAAGAAGGAGGAGGAGGAGAAGAAGGGTTCCTACCTGGTCTGGAAATGATGCTGGAGGTCGCCCCGCTGCAACACCTCGGTGCAGTGCTCTGTGAATGGACAGGTGACCAACAGCTTGTTAAGAAGTTTGTTGACCAGGATGCTGGACTTCTTGCAATGCTGCAGAACTAAAGGCTTGCGATCCACAGGGCAGAAGTCTTTCTCCACCAGGAAGTTGGTGAGACACAGGGCACAGTAGGTGTGTCCGCATGGAGTGTCCAGAGGGTCCAGCAATGCTTGTAGGCAGATGTGGCATATGAGGTCGTCGTCCACGTCTTCCGTGTAGGTGTAGCAGTGGTTTTCTTCTGGGGAGTGGTTCTGGCCACACACCATGCACAGGGGCTCAGGGTTGGGATCTGGGTCATCAGCTAGGTCTGATTGGTTCATGGTTGAGTGAAGATCAAGAAATCCAGGAAAGCAGTATTTCCTCAGGACCGGGTCAAGAGATTCTAAGAGCCACCCAAGAGAAAACCTACAAGAGAAAAAGGCAGCTCATATTCACACCATAGCCTGAGGGGACTGGGGTTTGTATGAGCAGGGGGACAGTGCTGGGCTCGGACTTAGAAGGCCAGGCCTGCGATCTACTCTAAATGCTTGGGCAACTATCTTTGCTTCACTGTACCTCCATTTCATACTGTAGGAATAATGGAAACCTACAGATATCCCCATGTACATGGATTAATAATCATGTGGGTCCTGTCTACTGGTGAAGTGTGTAGATCATATAAAAGGGATATAATTTGTTTGGACCTGCTCCATTCCCAACCTGGGCCAGTTCACCCTTCCTTAGGCAATCTGGTGGTTCCCTGCTCCCAGGGGTCACCATTTTGATGCTGAACTTAGTGTGGGCACTTGATTGGCATAGCTCACTACAGTCCAGAACTCCTGGACTCAAGCAATCCTCCAGTCTCAGCCTCCCAAGTAGCTGGGACTACAGGTGTGTGCCACCGTGCCTGGCAAGAAATACAATTTGTTAACAAAATCAAATGGATCATTTTTTTTTAATCTAACACTTTGTCAGGCCGGAGCAAGAAATAATTTCAAAAAAATCTCAGACTGGAGACTAATTGATGTAGTTCTCCAAAACTCAGACAGAGCAGGCCACCAGAGCCTTCGAAAGGTCACCTGTGCTGTTTGTTGTGTCTTCGGTATATTTACTATGGTTATGACCTGGATTTTTTTCCTGTCTTCATTACCATCCTCAATTGTTGAGTTGTCACTAGTTAAGTGGCCTCTGAGTTCAGCCTACTATTACTGTGTGTAGATGTCTTTAACCAAGAAAGGGTTAACAATAGCCCATCTTATAGGTTACATAAGTTTGGTGAAGCTCTTTGATGTTTACTGAGTACAAATTAACTATGAGTGATTTTCTTACATGTGTTTCAGAATTTGTTTTGTCTTTAGTCTAGTACTGTTGGCCTAGAAACTGAAGCTTCAGTTCCTACAAGAGGATCTTTCTGCTTTGTCATAACAGTAGTCTTTGATCCAATCATATATTAATATCTTTCTCAGAAAAATCCCATGGCAGTATGTCTTTTCCTTTGATATAGAAAGAGTCCCCAAAGAATGGGTTTTTTTTTTCAATGTTTGATTTTACAACTCGGAAGTGAGTTGAGGGGGAAACCTCAAAAACACATGTAAAGAATGCAATTTTAGGGAGTCCCCAGTCCAGAGAGGCGGTGGGCATTCACACAACTTGGTAGAGACCAGATAACCATTGCCAGCCAGGACTCTGTCATTGTTTATGCCGAGGGAGCATCTGGCTTCCCCTCACCTCCAACACAACTCTCTTCTCAAAAACAAAGACTTTCGCCTTTCTCCAGGGGCATGAAGACATGATCTGGACAGAGGGGGCCAGCCGCCTGAGGAAGGAGCACGGGTTTCATACACCGTGCTGCATCGCTCTTCTTTCCCAAACATTCTGAACTTATTTGTCCAAACACAGCCTTATCTCAGAAAAAAAATACATGCCTTCCAACTTCCACTGAGTCAGCTTTGATGTTTATTTTCTGAACTCAGCTAGGATGCCTGAAAGAATAGTTCAGAAAAGGGGCTGAAGTAAAATGCCTGAAATGTCAGAACACTTGGGAAGCACAGTACTTTATTTCTCTCTGACTGGGACCCCAGAAGGCAAAAGGTAGAGCGTTCGGGGAAGGGCATGAGTTGCTGTCAGTCAGAGCACATGGAAACCTACATAGTTATTTGTTTTCAAGGCTCTAAGTAAAGACACTGGAAGTTCACAGGAAATGCTTCTGGGAAGAGCAAAAAATGGTTAAAAAAATAAATCTGGGAATGGAAATGGACCACCCAAAAGGTTGTCATCTTATGGCAGGGAGCAAGGTTCAGAAGAGTAGAGGGAGGCTCTGGATCTTTGGAGATTCTTCTAGAGCTCTGTCACACACTCCTACTTGCTCCAGCCCTGTCCTTTCTCACTCTGCTGTAGGAGACACCCCAACAGCAAACCAGGCTACAGCTCCAGGTGGAATGAAAGAACAACTTCTCAGTTAAGCCATCCCTCCTTCAGTGACGGGGTGGTGTAGGCCTGATGTGTGGTTTCTAAAGTGTGTTCTGGGAGGGGCCAGGTGCCTCACTCTGGATCTTCCTGGGACTGCACGTGGAAGAAGACTAGAAGAGACCCAGGTTCATTTGCTGTGGTCCAGCCAAGTGCCTCCTAAAGGTCCACACGCTACAGGGCTTGGTCCCCAGGGTGCTGCTACTGGGAGGGAAGGATGCGGGGAGCCTTGAGAGGTGGGGCGAAGGGCTGGTCATAAGGCCATTGAGATGAGCCCTTAACATTTTTATTATAAAATATTACACATAAGGAGGTTTCAAGCAAGTCTATAATGTACTTTGAACGTATTCCGCTACACATCCCCACTGTGCTCTCCCATTTAGACCTACTTCCCTCCCATTAGTCCCCTTGTGCTCCAGTTCTATACATTGCCTTGGTCATGGTGTCTGCACAGCAGTAAAAAGCAAGGGCACTGACTGAGACCTTTCATTATTGTAGTGTGAAGCTGATTAATGCTTGACCTCTGCCCTACCTTGCCTGTATTTCACTCCCACATCACATTCTTTATAATATTCTGCACTAAGAATCCTACCTTAAGAAAAACCAAAACCCAACCCAAACAAACAATTGAAAAGACCCTGTAGGTCATTAGACTAGATAAAACTCCCATGCATGAATAGATTTCTATGATTCTGTGTTAAGAGGAAATGTTTATTTTGTTATTGTGATTGTGTGTGTGTGTGTGTGTGTGTGTGAGAGAGAGAGAGAGAGAGAGAGAGAGAGAGAGAGAGAGAGAGAGAGAGAGACTTACTATATATGAGACCAGGCTGTAGTGAGGTAGTCCTTCTGTAGCACTGACCACGCCCATTGGGGGGTGGAGCAATGGGCGGAGGTGACCTGAGGAAGGAGGTCGGAGGGGGCCAGGAAGGCGCTCTCTTTCTGGCGTGACTCGGACAGAAGAGGATCGGGTTGAATTTCCTGGTGTTCATCTGTCTAGGTTGTAAGTTATTTCTCCCTGAATAAACATCTATTCGGCCTATTTGTTTATCCTGACCCTTATTTACCGCAATATCTGGTGTCAGAAGTGGGATTTACCTGGGTTTTGCCCCCAGGCGGCAGAAGCCGCCCCCCCTCCCCCACCTTCCCCAACGGGCAGGGTTTAACCAGGTGGACTCACCACAGCTTCGGTACATTTGCCTCTTCCTTACTGCAAAGGAGATCTTTGCCGCTAAAGCAGACCTGAGAAGGCACTTACCGCTTAACATTTTTTGCCCATTTCCGCACGGGACTTTGCATTCGCGCAGAGCCTCTCGGCGGCACCCGCCCGGCGGCACCCGCCTGGCGGCACCCACCCGGCGGCACCCGCCCGGCGGCACCCGCCCGGCTTGCACGCGTTTCGTCTTGTGTTACAAGTAACTCCAAAAGTCCCCTTTTAACAAAATTCTGCTTGCCATAGTTTGTTAAGAACTTTTTACAGGAACCGGGATCAGACGAGCCTGGGCGGCTAGGCGCTATTTGATGACACACCTCCAGGCGTAGCTACCACAAGCGGAGATATACAACTAAAAGCATCAAAGTTCCAGGACAGCAGAATTACACCTAAGGTAATTGTAACATCCTTTGCAATTTAAGCTGATATAAAATCTGAGATAAATTGTTCTATAACTATGGCAGATAATTTTACTATGCAGAACTTTAGGAATTATTTTACTTCATATGTAGAAGGGATTTTAGCAGAAGAAACTTATGACTGGACCAATATATACTTTTATTTTGTAATAGCAATGGGTTTCATCATTAACATGATATTCTTAAAGAAATGGTTTGAGATTACAGCAAACAATAAGGAACTTGTACAAACCATGGGAGACTTAGTAACAAAGATTCGAAACATTGAAAATGATAGAATTCAAAGCATAGAGACAAGGATTCAAAACATTGAAAATGATGGAATTCAAAGCATAGAGACAAAGATTCGAAACATTGAAAATGATAGAATTCAAAGCATAGAAAATATAGAAAGAAAGATTCAGAATATTGAAGATGGCGTTGGCGAGCTGAAAGGTATAATTTGTTTAATGTCAGATACTTCAATAACCAGAACAGAAACAATGCAATGCATTAACAAACTAGCAGAAACAGCCCACTCCTGGTCGGAGGAAGCTACTAATAAGTTTAAAAAACTGGAACATCAGATAGAAAGACTAGATGACAGAATCTCTTCCATGTCTGAGGATAATGGCAAGCTAGCAGATAGAACATTGTTTCTGGAAGGCAGTTTACACGCCATTCAGATAATATCTAAGGATGATAAGATTAAAAACATGGAATCATTTGTAGTTGGAGAAAGTAAGAAACTGACTGATACAATGAAGTCTCTAGAAAGTTATTTGATTCAAGAAGTTCAGACACTCAAAGAAACAATGGTGAATAGATTTCAGGCTTTAGAAGACCTTCAGTCTGATACATCAGAAGAAGAACTACAGGTAATAGGGCATGAAAAAGATTTAAAATTTTCCACACCATTTAGGGTCAGGGGAGCTTTCCCTGTATCTATTCATGAAAAGCCAGCAACGAAGAAACATCCAAAAGGTGTCGTTGCATATCAGTGGGAACCAATACGTATGAAAGATTTAAAAGGTATAAAGGAAGCAGTAGTCTCTTATGGCATGCATTCACCTTATGTGAAGCAATTAGTAGAATCATGGGCATGGAATAACAAGGTAACCCCTAAGGATTGGGATCAATTAATATCAGCTGTCCTTGAAAGCGCCTCTCAAATAGAATGGAGGGCTTTATGGAGAGAGGAAGCAAAAGCTCTTGAACTTCAGGGCTTAAAGAAAGGGTATAAAGCTCCCCAAGATAAAATTCTTGGTGAGGGTCTCTATGCTGACCCAGAAACCCAAGCTGCCTATGATGAACACATCTTGTCTCTATGCAGTACAGCAGCTTTGAATGCT